TAGAAAAAATAGAGGCCAAAAACAAAGAAGGGGAAAGAGAGGAGGGCTGGAAGATCAAACTGGAAAAGGTAGAAGAAGAAATTAAGAAAATGAAAAACGGATTGGACAGAGGGAAAAATGATGTAAAAGGAGGGAATGCGGAAACAAGAGAACAGGTAGAAATGCTGACAGAAAAAATGGAAATGGAATGCGGAAAGAATAATATAATAATTTCAAACGTAGAAGAAATGCTAGAATGGGGAAGGAATGGGTATGCGGAAAACTAGCTAAAAAAATTTAGAAATATGGAGAGAAATAGTGAATTTGAGGCAAATAGGGAAAAAGCTACAGAGGAAGGGCTGATAGGCAAAAGGGAAGCCCTGCTAAAACAAGGACATTCAACCGGATTAAAAATCCAATCCGCTTCGAGTCTATTTCTGAATCCTACAAATGACAATTTCAATTTATCAAACTGGAATCGATCTTAATCCCCTTTAATATTTTTCTATCCTGAAATTAATTATTATAATATGTAAAATTAATTTCGGGATAAAAAAACATTAAAGTGAGTTAAGATTCATTCTACTTTAATGAATTTCAACTATCATTTGTAGTATTCAGAAATGGACTCAAAGTGGATTGGATTTTTAATCCGGTTGAATGTCCTCGTTTTAGCAGGGAGGAGAGGGAAAAAATGTATCAAGTAAGACATGGGAACAAAACGGGGGTATAATGAAGAAAAAGAGTCGATTAGGGGAGAGGAAAGTTTACATGGATCAAGATTAGACGTGGAAGTAAAGGACGATAAAGGAATAAAGGCGGAGGAAGAGAGAAAGAAGTGAATGTATGGCATAACGGGCTAAGAGCAGGGGAGGAAGAATGGTAGTGGGATAAAAAAGAAGAAACACGATATTGAAAGGATGAAGAAAGTTTTACACATAAAGAAAGAAGAGAATGCGACAAGAAAGGTAGAAAGGGACAGGACAAAAAAGGATTTATTATGATTTTCTGAAACGTGGTGGGAATAGAAAACCTGGATGTAGAAGACTAGGAATACATCAGACAGCACAAGATAGTGGAACTAACGGAAACATGGATGTAGCAAGAAAGAGCATGTAAAAAATGAGAAACCGACTAAAGAGGTATAATATAGAGTGAAGAAACTCAAGAAGAGAGGGTAAAAGAGGAAGAGAAGTAGAAAGCTGTATAATGGCAGTGAGAGAGAAGAAAGGAAGCATGAGGGCGAAATAGAGGAAATGGAAGTCAGAAGAGGTATAGTGACAGAGCAAATATACGAGGTGTGTTCAAAAAGTAAGGTGACTTTTCTAATTTCATGGGCAACGTACTTTCGATTATCGATTTTTTTGTTTTGTTATGTTTCTACACTCTTCCCGAACATCTGTACCAAGTTTCATGTGTATAGCATTTTTTGTTTGGTTGTAAGAGGCGTAAAAGAAGAAAGTAAAGTTTATAAGTGTTTTGCGTGCTCGACGATTTCTTGCTATCGAAAAATATGGATCAAAGGATTTGCATCAAATTTTGTGTAAAAAATAAAATAAAGTGCTCCGAAACACTTGAAATGTTGCGGTGGCATACGGTGAAACTGTTCTGAGTAAAAAAATGTTTACAAGTGGTACAAACTCTTCCAAGATGGCCGGGAAGATGCCAATGACGAGCCTCGCTCTGGACGTCCAAGTACGTCAACAACTGATGAAAACGTTCAAGTAGTAAAGAAAATTGTTCTGGAAAATCATCGAATCACTATCAGAGAAGTTGCTGAGGATGTTGGAATATCGCTTGGCTCATGCCATGAAATTTTTTCTAACGTTTTGGGCATGAGACGTGTGTCAGCGAAGTTTGTTCCGAAATTGCTAAATTTTGACCAAAAGAACCGTCGCATGAACATCACTCAAGAACTGTTGAATGACGTCAATGACGACCCAGATTTACTCAAAAGGGTCATAACTGGTGACGAATCATGGGTATATGGTTATGATATCGAAACCAAAGTCCAATCGTTCCAATGGAAGAGCCCAAATGAACCAAGACCGAAAAAAGCACGCCAAGTTCGATCAAATGTCAAAGTTTTGCTCACTGTTTTCTTCGATTACCATGGCGTGGTGCATCAGGAGTTTTTACCATATGGACGTACGGTCAATAAACAGTATTATCTTGAAGTTATGCACCGTTTGCTAGAAGCAATACGAAGAAAACGCCCAGAATTGTGGAAAAGCAATTCATGGCTTTTGCATCACGATAATGCCCCTGCTCACTCATCTTTGCTTGTGAGAGATTTTTTGGCCAAAAACAATACCACAATCATGCCTCAGCCACCATATTCACCGGATTTGGCCCCATGTGACTTTTTCTTGTTCCCAAAACTAAAGAGACCTATGAAAGGACGGAGATTTGCAACGATTGAAGAGATAAAGACTGCATCGCTGGAAGAGCTCAAGGCTATACCGAAAAGTGCTTATGAGAAGTGCTTGGAGGATTGGAAAAACCGTTAGCATAAGTGTATTGTATCTGAGGGGGATTACTTTGAAGGGGACAACATAAATATTGATAAATAAATAAATATTTTTTCTTAAAAATACAGTCACCTTACTTTTTGAACACACCTCGTAGATAAAGAAAAAGGAAATTATAGTGGCAATAGTGTATACCTTGCACAGAAGGAAGGAGAACTATGAAATATTAAAGGAAGTTACAGAAGAAATAAGGGACGAGATAATGATAATAAGAGGGAATTTTAACACGAGAACGGGGAAGGAAGGCAGAAGATGGAAACAAAGATAGGAAAGGATGAGACAGAGGTAAAACATGAATAAATGAACGCGGTAGGGGAGATGATAAAATGGCTAGGAGAGAATGGAATGACAATAATGAACAGAAGAAAGAAGGGGTATGAGAAGGACGAGCATATATAGGGGCAAGAGGAATGTCTACGATAGATTACTTAATAGAAAATGAAGAAGGAATGTAAGAGGTCAAAAAACGAAAATAGGGAAGAGGCCTAAATGAGATCATATGCCAGTACAGGTAGAGTTGGAAAAAAGCAGATGGGAAGAACTGGAGGAATAAAAGGAAGAGAAGAAGATAATTGACTGTAACTTTGGAAACAAGTAACCTATAGAAAGAAGAGAAAAGGGATAGACGAAAGTGTAGAAAAAGAACAGTTGATAGAAATAGTGGATAGATATAGTGTAAACACTTTAACACTAACAATTAGGAGAGAAAGAGAGAAAGGAAGAGGAAGGAGAACTAGGAAGAGCAGAGATTGAAGAAGAAAAAAAGAAGGAAGAAAAAGAAGTAGTAGGGTTGGGATAATTAACTGTATGAAACGGTAAAAAGCCCCAGGGGAAGATGGAAATCCCAATGAATCGTGGAAAAAAGGGAAATCAGAGATTCCAAGGGATTTTACGGTTTGGTTGAAAAAGATATGAGACAAAACAGGATATCCAGAAGAACGGAAACGTAGAATTATTGTGCCTGCCTTCAAGAAGGCGAACAAGAAAAAAGTAGGGAATTACAGAAGAAATAACATTGATGGATTTAGGATATAAAATATATGCGGAAATTTTGAAGAGAAAACTCAATAAAGATATGAAAAATAAAAAGGATATTAAAAGATACACAAATGAGATTTAGAAGAACAAGAGGGATAATAGATGCGAAATATATGCTGTAACGGAGAATCTCGGCTAGGCCGATTTCGTCCGTTTGGCTCTCGCAAATGTCCGTGCGCCGCGCCAGGCTGAGAGTGTGTGCGTTTGGTACACACACTCATGCTTGGACCTTTTGTTTACGAGGTGCTGAACACGGGCTAAGCTGACGAGTAGAGCGAGGCAGATGGCGCAGAAGAGAGAGAGAGAGAGAGAGAGAGAGAGAGAGAGAGAACGCTCGAATTGGAGATCGCCGCGGAAAAGTTCGGGGAAGTCGCTGCTAAGCTATGAGCAGAGGAAGTCGCGCGCGCGGATAAAACCGAAGGTTACGGTTTTTCCGAAGTTGGCCCCGCGACCACGTCGACGATCGTTCGTTTTCGGATACACGCTCGGTGCGCGGACGAGTATTGGAGCGTAAGGCTGGGTCGTGCCCAGCCATGTCCCGAAGAATACCCAGCACCGGTGCATGTGGGTTGGGTTACCGACAAGGTGTGCGGGTGCGCGTGCGTGCAGTTTAGACGTGCTGCAGTACCGAGCAATAGAGGTGCGACGAAGACGACAACAGCAGCAGTCATCGAGCGAAACAACGGATTGGGGCAGTAATATTGTGGAGCGAGTGAGAGGACGAGGAAGAAGACAAACAGCTACGACAATAAACATTAGCAAGACGGTCAGCGAGGAGCACACCAGTGACGTCATACTGCGGAGCGCTCTAGCCGTCGGAGAGGCTGAAGGTCGAGGTCGGTGCCGTGTTTTTTCTCTCGTCTCTCTCTCTCTCTCTTGCATGTTTGGGCGGTTTTAGTTTTCACAAGGGAATCGGCAGGCTGACCAGCCACCGTTTCACCTTCGCGTTCGCGTTTGTTATTGTGCCGCTCGTAGTGTGTAAGTCCGAGGTCGCCGTATTGTAATCGATTGTTGACAATTAAACGACTAGTGCGTTAATCCGCTGAATCTGTGATCCCGATCTTGAATCTGTGCGTTTAACGTAGTTGTGCTCGACTCGTTATTCAGTCGTGGGAACGTCTTTTGCTTCCCGAATCCCCGAATAAATAATTTGTTCGGACGGTCGCGAGCAACCCAGACGGGTACGGCCGGAATTCTCCGTTACAATGCTAAAGAACGTAATAGGAAAGAAACTAAAAGAGGAAAAAGGGAAAGTATTCATATTCTTTGCAGATATAAGAGATATTTTCGATAAGATCAGAAGGAGAAAGATATAGATTTTAATGAAAAATGGAGGAATAAACAGGAAGCTAAGGGAGGTAATAAAGGAAATATACATTAGAATAGAGTACAAAATCAAAATAAATGGAATTAGTTATTTTAAGATTATTATTTAATTTTATTATTTCGGAATATTTCCATAGTTACAAAAAATGTAAGTAAAGAAATACAATTAATTTAAATTTTTTTATTACTAGTTGGATGTATTCCAACCAAACCATTACTTTTTTGCGTAGCATCCCAAACATTTATACTTTCTCCACAGTTGATTCCATATCCTTCCCTCAGTCCATGAGGATTCGATGGTGTTATGTAATCTTGATTAGCTTCTTTACGTAGTGCAGTATCTATTTCTACGGATGTAAAAAAGGCTACTGACATTGGAAGATCTTTCATTCCTAATTTGGATACAAAGAAACAGCGAACTAATAAATTAGTTACATGCAAGGCTAATGCAGCATTATATTTATATTTTGAAGGTACAAGGTAACGTACCTCATCATGGAATGACAAACAAAGTCGAGCTTGATCTTGCATCAACCACCGCATACTTACTAAAATAAGATGAAGAAAATCTACTGCAGCACTTTGAACAACCCAATTAATTTTTGTAGGAAGATATTTGTAAGAAACTTCTTTTTCTAAAGCTCGACTTAATCTAGCATTTAAAAATGGTGTCTTTGGATTCTCTTGCTTAGCAATACTTTCTAAACTATTGAACATTGCTGATTCAGTACCGCCGAACCATTTTCCTTGTTTAAATAATTCATTTACAGACTTCCTATGCAATTTAGCAATTTTAAAAGCATCACTGGCTGTGTATATTTTATTAGGATAAGTTTTGGATATGAAAGTTTGTTTAAGATGATATACCCTTTCACCTTTAGTCATTAAAAACATTTTTCTTGATTTTTTCAGTGCATTTTCGTCTGTCATTAAAGGATTAAATTGTTTTAACAATCTTTCAGCAAATTTTTGCCCTGCCCCATATATGCGAGCATAATTAATTACTTTTGCTTGATCTCTAGAAATACCAATCGCTTTAGCAGTAATACTATGCATATCTGTACCACTAGATTTGTTACCAATTAGAGTCATCCAACTAAATGGAGTTGCACCATGGATTTTTAAATTAGAAAATGAATCTCCAATAATAGAAGCAATCCAAAGCTCTTGGCTATCAACATCAGCACCAACAATATTATAATGTTGAGGAGCATTTATCATAGCTCTTAACTCTGAACCAATTCTATCAAATTGTGCATTTGAAGCTGTCATCCAAGTTGATTCTACAGCACGGCGAGTTACTGTTCCTGCAACAATAACTTGTGGCAGCAGAATTCCAATATTACCAAGCTTTTTATTTACTTTTGTACTATTTGTTACTTTTGAACTACTATTATCCAACCATATAATAGTTTGAGATAGAATCCTGTCTCTATTATTTTTCCAATATGAAGACATTCGAGCAATTTCGATAATTCTTGAAGAACTACGATTAATCCCAATTAATTTTTTTTCTGAAAAAATATTTATAAAATCTTTAGCTAAAGGATTACCAACATTCGAAAAGAGTCCATCTTTATGAGGCAATTTGAAAAAAGTATAATTTGTCGAATACGAAAGCATATTCTTCATATCATATGATTCAGATGAATTCATTTCATTAAATTTATTGCATGCAACTTGCTTAGTGTTGATTGAAGAATTAGTTTGTTCTGTTATAGAATGCATAAATAAATTATAATTTCCATCAGGCACTGAGAATCCCCAACCATATTGTTTAATATGATGAAGAGGAAATTGTTCCCATTTAAGGCCTAAAAGTTTTGGAGTGATGAGCATTGACGTACTAATATTAAGTTTTACAGGCATTAAATTTACTGGTTTAGATTTCAAATTAAAAAGTTTGCGGTACCAATCTGGATATCCTGGTATATGCGGTAATTTTTTTGGGATATAACATTTTAATCTATATAAATAGTCAAATTTTTCTTCTAATGATCTAATACTATGAATATTGATTACACATGAGTCAACATTTTTAATGATGTTACTTTTTAACTTGAAATCCTTAATTTTCCAATTTTGATCCCACATCCAAGGATCCTTTTTATACTGATCATCAATCATTAATCTACAAGTTTGATCTGCTTGCCTTGATAAACAAATTTTACTTTCTAAATTCAAATCATTATAAATTGTTTCTGATTCTTCTAAGTATTTTTTCCAATTATAGTTTACAGGCAAATAAACCGAATTAAGTTCTAACATACCTGCTAATGTAGCAGGATGAGGAAATCTTTCTGTAAATATTGGTAACATTTTTTTAAATATACTATGAGTTGCTGTAATATCGGATGCGCAATAAAACATCAGTTTATTAAATTCCTTTTTTATTTGAAATATATCTCCATCAATAAAAATATTTCGAACAGTTTTATCCAATTCAATACCACAGTAAAGTTTGTAAACATCTGATAAATTATTTAGAGAAGATAAATTATGCAATTTACTGTTTGACATATTACAACTACTTTTTGATCGAAGAATAGATCTTTGATAACTACTAGTTCCACTAATGCAAACATGCAATGACATTGTATCTAAAAATTTAGTAGCAGTCTTATTTATCCAATATTGCTCCTTTATTCGTACACGATCAAAAGATACATTATGACCAATAACAATTTTAGGCATTAATTGAAATTGTGACAAATTTATACCACTATCTGTATTTGAACTTTCTAAAGGAATAAGAAGATCAGGTGTCAATGTTTTATTCATGAAACTTGAACAATTACCTTCAATTAGTTGTTTTGAAACCCAACTATACCATGAATTTGTACTTACTGCAATTGCTAATACTGGTAAAGGTCCATTTTTTAGACATATTTCTACATCTAGAATTAACTCTTGTTCACGTGGATATTCTACTAATTCATATCCTGGATTTAGATAACGTACCCATCCTTGTTCTAAATTAAAAGATTCTGGCATTGGTGGTAGATCTTTGAAATTCTCAATCAAACTACGGTAAGGATAAATTTGTTCTAAGGCAATTTGTTTGAAATGTTCCTCAATATCAAGACCTTTCAAATCAGGTATATTAATATTAATATCTGATATTTTAAATTTATTGTTTTCAGTGTAAATTCCAAATTTTTTAAGTTCACTTTTGATTGACTGTATGTCCTCATTATTTTTAAATTCTTGATTGGCAACATCACCAAATATTTTTTTATATAAACTAATCGGTAACATTTGAAGATTCATTTCATTGAACCGAGTTTCATTCATGGATATATGGTTTAATTTATTATTGGTGCAATATCCATTCTTATTACAATAGCATGCTTTAAACAACTTTTGATGAAACTTTAAACAACTAAAAAGGTGTGACTTGAATTCCATAGTAATCTAAAATCCAAGAGACAGAACGAATTAATGCCTAAAAGTTAATTCATAAAAGAGAGCTAGGTCATTTATAGAAAGATTTGGACATTTAGGAATTATATTATATTCCGATTTAAATAATATACATACACTAAACAGCAACCGTAGCCTACTCTGCAAGTTGACGCATGCGCAAGACGATTATTCTGATTGCATATGATACTAATTACATTATTCAAATTTTTGTTTAAATAATGTACTTTTTTAAATATACTTTAACGGGGTAAATTTCTTGTAATAGTGAGCAATGTTTTAAGATCTTAAAATTGTACAAATATTGATATTTCGTCAAGATATCGTTTAAAGTTTGCGTAAATAACACTTTAATATTTTGTTCTTAAAAACGTAATGAAAATGTAATTGAGCAAATTCGACTGTATTGAAAATTATTTTTTTTGTAATTTTAAGTATTCTATTCTATTCTATATATATTTATTGGCTCCGGTTTCCCATACGGCCATCAACTGACATGTGGCGCTTGTGCGCCGAGAGAGCGAATTTGGCGGAACTTTTGAAAAAGTGAGTAGAAAAGATCAGAAATTGAATAGAATAAAGTTTAAGCTAGAAAAGAGGAAAAGATTGATAATTAGTTCGTAGTGATAATAGTAGTAATAGTGTTAGTAGTGAAAATTAAGTACATCATAAAAGTATCTCAGCGCTTTTGAGAAATTTGCATAAAATTTCTATATGGGATGGTTTGGGATCTGAAAGGAATTGTGAAATTGTATAAGGCGGGAAGATCTTTGTTTTCATCAGTTTAAAAAGTAACAATTTTCGATGATTGTCAAAGCGTTCGCAGGACCAAAAAACATGATTAAGGTCTTCATTGTCCTTGCCACAAGGACATAAGGGAGATTGAACTAAATTTTTTCTATGTAAGCTGTATGCTAGACTGTAGTGGTTGCTTCTCATGCGTACTGTGGTGTCCTGCACAAGGTAGTGTTGTTAAACCAGGGTTTGGAAGAATGACTAAAGTAGTTTTGGAAGTATTGGACTCCTTTGTTTACGTCCACTCGTGTTAGGAATTTCTTGAATTTATCTCTATAGAGATTGTTAGTGAATTGGCGTAGGTCCGAATGAGGTATTAAGTTGGATGGACTAATACCTGAACCGCAAGCTTGTGTGGCAAGAATGTCTGCTGTTTCATTGCCAGGAATACCTTTATGACTTGGAATCTAAGCAAAAATTACTTCTTGATGGTTCTGGAGAATTTCTAGAAGTCTTGTTTTTATTCTGAATATTGTAATATGCGTGGAGTCGATAATTGCTTCTTGGTGGGTAAGGCAGAGGAGCGCACTAAGAGAGTCCGTGAAAATGATAGATTTGCTAATTTTCTTGAGAATAATTAGTTCTAGTGTAAATTGAATTGCTAAAGCTTCTGCTGAGAAGATGGAATTGTGTGGATCAATTTTAAATTTAAGATTAAGGTCTAAAGGGTCTGGGCCATGGTCTGGGCTATGAATGGCTAAACCAACATACAATCCAGTATCTTTTTTTGATCCGTCTGTATAGAATGGAGTGTGTGATTGTAAAAGATCGCTAAATTGATGAATAAACTCAGTTGGCGGGTTATCAGCTTTGGCAATGGTTTCACCTTTGTCGAGGATAATGGTTGACTCTGTCTGTTGTGCTTCCAAGGAAAAAACGTAGCATGGAGGTATAGGGCTAGAATAAACCTTTTTTTGAAAGCGTTTGAGCTTAGTAAAGGCTTTAAGAAGAGGAAGATTGTGAATATATCGAGGAGAGCTTTTTTTTAACGAGTCTGCCAAGTTTGAGATAGCAATAGTCGCTGGATGATTCGTTGTCGAGAATGAGCGTATTATATAGTTGTACGCAAGTTTCTCTTGTCGAAGCTGAAGAGGATAAACTTGCGATTCTGCGTATACAATTCGATTAGGGGTCGTATTTCTTAAACCTAAAGCAAATCTAAGAGCACGTCTTTGTAAAACGTTAATTTTTTCGAAGAAAGAATTTGTATTGCTTGGGATGCAGCATAGACCATAGTCTATAGCTGCCGAGACTATAGATTTGTAAATGAGTAAGAGCGATCTGGGGTGACCTCTCCACCATGTGGTACGTAGAGATCTTATAATGTTTATGCTCGGTGAAATTTTTTTAACTATGTGGTTAAGATGAGTTGACCATGATAGATTCTTATCCAGTGTTAATCCAAGAAACTTGGCGCTGTTAGAGACAGGTATTTGAATAGAGTCAACTGTAACTGAAAGGTTCGAAAAATCAGAATCTTTGTGATTTGTGTGAATTACTATGTTGGTTTTTTCTAGCGATAGAGAAAGACCAATCTTTTGGAGAAATAGGTTTACTCTTTTCAAGTTACGTTCTAGAATTTTAAGAGCAACTTTTGGATCTTTGTGAGTGACAATAAGGGCGATATCATCAGCAAATTGTAGACAGTCGCATCCAATGAGAATATAGATGAGTTGACTAACACTGATGCTATAAAGAGTCGGGCTGGAGACGCAACCCTGTGGGACACCCTTTCTGGTTACAAAAGGGCCAGTAATTTCACCATTTATGTTGAAGTAAATCAGTCTTTCACCTGTTAGGTTGTAATAGAATTTGCAAATTGTTTCTGGAAGACCTAGGTCTTTCAATAAATAAACGAGGGAAGTAGGGTCTACGTCATCAAAAGCACTTTTGACATCGAGATAGGCTACAGTGGTGTAAAGTCCGTTGGTGAATCCTGAATAGATTTTTGTAGTAAGAATCGAGAGGTTGTCAGCACAAGATCTTGATTTGCGGAAACCGAACTGTGACAATGGTAACTTGACGTTGTGTTCAAGCCACCAAGAGAGTCTAACTTGAATCATCTTTTCGAATAGTTTAAGCGTTGCAGATGCGAGTGAGATTGGTCTGAATTTATTTTTACCTGGTTTGGGAATAAAGAAAATGAGAAATTCCTTCCGAGATTTCGGGAATGAACCTGAGAAGTAGATTTCGTTAAAAGATTGGAGTAGTTCATGAATAACATTATCCGGTAAGTTGAATATAATCCGATAATCTATTTTATCGAGACCTGTAGCAGAGTTTAACCTCTTTGAGCATGATTTTACGGCAGATTTGATCTCAAGTAGTGGGAATGGTTTGTTGAATAATTGCGTTGTTTCTTCTGATGCAAGGAATGAGCTTGGAAAGTTCTGTGGTGTGCAGGAACTAGGACAAATAGTGTCAATCATAAGATTTTGGGCTTCGATATTCTTCAAATTGTTTCATGCTTGAGGAGCACCAAGTGATCGGTGGCGAAATTTTTTGATTGTTTGAAAAATAGTTGTAATTGGAGTGAATGGACTGATTGTTTCACAGAACTTGATAAAGGCAGTTGCTTTAGCCTGTTTAAAAATGTTTTTGGCGTGTTTTTCAGCTGAAATAAGCTCATCTAGAAGCCTTGGATCGTGACAAAAGTTTTTTAGTGCTGCCCTTCTTTGTTTGTTTGCGTTCTCGCAGTCATCATCCCACCAAGGAGCATTTGGTCGTTTAATGCGTTTATTTCTCTTTTTTGACGGGTGAGAAGTGTCTTGAATATCTAGGGAACGAGGGGGGGAAAGAACATGTTCGATAGCTTTCTTGATAATTGAAATTACTTCTGAGTATCTGTCGGAATAAGTATTATTATCAGAGTCGAAATCAAATCGAACATTTTTGAGATAATCGCAAAATGGTAACCAGTCTGCAGACGACTTAAACTTTTTGAAATTATATCGAAGGTTTGGGATGGGTTTTGGGGGATATAAAGGAATGCCAATGGTGATGGTAATAGGGTAGTGATCGCTTCCAAAATTATCATCTTCCACAAACCAATCACTTAAGGTGTATAAGTGAGGTGAAACGAATGATAAGTCAAGATGTGTAGGATTATTGGGATTGATTTTGTTAATGTAAGTAGGAGTGCCATCATTTAGCAAAAGTAGGTCACTATCCGTAAAAGTAGAGAGAAGACTGTCTCCAATTCTATCAACAGAAGAACTACCCCATGCCACATTGCAGCAATTAAAATCGCCACCTATAAATATTGATTTGAATTGACTCAGAGAATCAGTTAAAAGCTGCCAGTGTGTTAGAGGAAACATTTCATTTGATGGTGGTCTGTACACGGCGACAATAGTTAAGTCGAATTGACTAAGTTTAATTGTTACCGCTAAGGTTTCTACAACGTTTAGTATGCTCGGAATGTTATAATTTTCAATGTCAAAGAGAATGTAATTTTTAAGAGCGATCGCAATCCCTCCTCCTTTACTGTCTGGTCTATCCCGTCGTATAAAAGTGAATTCTTTTATTTTCATATTGTAGTTTTCATTTGCCTTCGTTTCAAGGAGAATAATAACATCATAATCTAGTGAAATTTCTTGCAAATAAGGTCGTCTCTGAGTGAAAGAATTACAATTCCATTGTAAGATGCGAAGTGGTGTATTGGTGTTTTTAGAGGCCATTTTGAGATTTGGAGATTTTGGCGAATAATTCTTGGAAGTCAGCGGCGACGTTTGTATTTGATTGGGTAATTAAAGGAATAATGATATTAGATGTGATTTCTAAAAGAAGGGCAAGAGCTTGGGAAGCGTTTTTTGGTGTCTCAAAGAAGCTATAATCCTTATCCGGGTCAAAGTTTGGGAGAATCATCTCATCGGCTTCGTTTGTTGGAGAAGACGAGAGAGTCGTTACAATATTTTTTTGTAGTCTGTATTGAGCATTCGAGGGGGAAGATTCAGAGTTCATCGGTGGGCAGGATGCAGCACGGGTGATACGAGTACGTTGAGTGTTAGTGCTATTGGAAACTGGTGTAGTAAGAGGTTGTGATGCAAACACGAATCCAGCGTTAGGATGACTAGGATGCTGATAAACTTGCGACTGACAGGAAGGTACGAAGTTGGAGGTGCTTTTTCTAATTGAATTACTAGGTTGAGAACCAGCAAAACTATAGTTGGGAGACTGTGGTGAAGGTAGAAAGTTTGAGGGGTGGTGTCCTGATGTATGGACGTTAACTGAGCTAGGTCGAGAAGGAGGTCGCGCAAGAGGTTGAGTAGTAGTACCGCC